GATGTACCAGCTGAACGCTGTGCCCGGGCGCACCTTCGCCGCACTGCGGCTTGACCGGCAGGATGTGGACGACCTGGAGGATGCGGAGAATGAGAACCATTCGATGTCGTCGGTGTCGAAGGGTGGGCTCTCAAGCGCTGGTGGGAATCCTCTTGCCGTTTTGATGACGGACATGTTTGCCCCGCTACCGCTGCAGCAGCGATGGAAGACGCTTCTTCTGTTTGCTGAGCGTTGGCGTGTCTCCCTGCCGTCGAAGCCCGCAGGCGACAAGAAGGATGCGTGCCGCGAGGTGATTGGCCGCCTGGCTGTGAAGATGGGCCGCGTGATCTCCCGGAAGGCTGAGGTGCAGCAGGGCGGGCAGGACATCGGGTTGGGCACACTGCGCGGAAGCATCGACATGCGGAGGAGTTCCCGGCTTAGCAGAGTATCTTTGACGTCTGCTTCAATTACGCATGAATGTCTTTTTGCCCCTGCGGGCAGTGCTCTTGGGTGTCGTTGCTCAACGTCCACTAATACGACTACAATCAATAGTGTCGAATTTGTAGGTTTCTCCCATTTGTGAATTGTGTCGATTCAGAGCCATGCTTATCATTGTTCTATTTGCTATATTCCTGCAGCAACAGTTTTGCTCGAGAGTACTCGTTTCTGTTTTCTGTTAAAGTTTGCCCTACCGTTTTTTTTTTCTTTGCGCGGGCACCTGGAGGACGTAAAATTTCGTTTTTTTTTTCATTTTGCTTTAACGTGCGGGAACACTTAGCACGGTTTTACGTTTGCTTTCTGTGCCGCGAGCCCAAAGGCTCTCAAGGCGCAGTGTCCCTTCCACCATGCCAAGGAATTTGTGGATTCTGTTGAGGTGATTTATTCTCTGTTTGTGAGTGCGCTGTCATGCACGGCGCTCACATATCTTTGCAGGTTATTTGTATTTGGCACATCGAGTGGAAGAGTACAAGAAGGCACCATATTAAGGTGAGTTTTGCACAACAAATGCTGTGGGGCTACAGAAGTGCCTCTTTCTCTCTCTCGCTTAAATATCTATCATACAGCTATTCTTACATCTCCCCTTTCTCTCACTGGCTGTGTGTGCCTCACCCCACCCACTGCCTTGCTGCAGGAGACAAGACACAAGACGGCCTTCAGTGATGTGCGCTGGTGGCGTGACAGCCCCCACGAGTTCTGCACGATGCGCGGCACACACCCGCGGTGCTGCGGTGTACGTTCTGCTTGTTGTCGCCACCCTTGTGACGAGTGTGAGTGCGCAGGAGCCGCAGACTGTGAAGCTACTTGACATGCTCTTCACGAAGGACCCCCTTGCGATTAATACCGTCATGGCGTACAAGGCTGGGCTGCAGGCTGCGCTGTGGTCGCGCAACAACACTGTTGGCGGCGGGCTGAAGCTGGAGCTCATCGCGGCGCAACCAGACGCCACGGCGACGGACGTGCCCGCGGCGATCAGCAGTGCGGTTGGGACGTACTCCGACCTCCTCGCTGTTCTTGGCCCAGTGGGCGACCAGACGCTGATGTACGCCCGGCCAGCGTTGCAGCAGCATCAGCTGGTGGCTGTGGACCCCGTCACCGGCTCAACGCGGGTGCGCTACTGGGACCCGAACTTCTACTTTCTCCGCACGGACCCCATTCTGGCCTGTACGCTCATGTGTGGTATGCCACGACGTACCTGCGCGTGCTCCGGCTGGGCTTCATGTACCTGACGGATGTCGTGTATGGAGACGACGAGTACGCTGCTGCGGTGAGACTCCTGGAGGACACATGGGCTGCGCGCTGTCTGGTGTGGTCACAGTGATTATTGGCTCTAACACTTGTTGGTTGTGCCGTGCTAACGGATATTGGTTGTTTGGGTGTTTGTGTGAGGTGAATTATTATTTTTTTTTGCTTTGGGTTTGGGGCGCGCTTTATCTATGTTTATACTTATGTTCGCCTTGTGGAAAGGCAAGGCGATTGTTGCGTTTTTTTTTTTCGGCACTGTTCTATTTCTTGTTGTACATGCTTCTTTATCGCTGGGTGTATTATATGTGTCCTTTTCTCGCGTGCCATGCCCCTTCAGGGATAGATATATCCATACCGTGTTTGGAGATTTCCTTGCTTTAATGACCCTTGTGCGAGTTGCGTCCACAGTGGTGCCGCTACCCAGCTTTCTGCAACTTGTCGTAGTGGTGGTTTGCCTTGTCGTTTCCGCTGATGCTGCTGTTGGTGCTGGTTTTGGTGGCAGGGGCGTGAAAGGCAACGCCGTAGTGGGGCGAAGTGGCGGCAGGGGATTGGCGGCGTCGAGTGGTAGAAATGGAAGGGACGTTGTTGGTGGGGTACTGCACACACAGAAACGGGGTGCCACTGCGAAGCAAAGAGCGCGTCTTATAGACCAAGTGCATCTGCAGCGTCCCCACACCGGCACGGTGACGGTTCTCTCACTTCTACAGTCTCCTTATCTGCCTGCGTATGTGCTGAATGCTATTAACGCGGGGCTGAGCGCATCGATGTATTCGCGTAACTCCACCACTCAAAGTGGGACGAAAATCGAAATTGTTATGCCCACTGACGACTCTCTGACAGCACGTGACCACATCGACTACGCCGCGAAAAAAAATGACAAAATACTTGCTGTCCTTGGCCCAGTAGGAGATACAGAGACACTTCTGGCTATTCCTTCCCTCAAACGGCATAATCTGGTTGCTATATCACCGTTATCAGGGTCAAGCGAGGTGCGGCAGTGGAATACACACCTCTACTTTCTCCGTCCGGATCCTTCTGCTGAGCTGCTGACCCTCATACGTTACGTTGTTACATACCTGCGTGTGCGGCGACTAGGGTTCATGTACCTGCAGAATGTTTCGTTTGGCGATGCTGAGTACGAACTTACTGAGATTACGCTCTCTCGGATGGGCTACACTCTGAGCGGTGTGTTCACTGTGGAGAGCTCTGTGGCTGGCTCTGCTGAAGATGCCGCGTTCAGCGCTGCGTGGGAGACGTTCGCCGATACTC